CTCCTGTGCCTCAGCTGGTATTTCCCCCCCATATTTGAAATTCTATTTCTGAATCAAAACTAAACAACGTGAATCCCACCTGTGCATCCACCTTCAGATATGTAAAGTGGAGCCACCACCCTCGCAGGGAGGTGGGGATGGCCGCCTGACCGGTGTCAGAGCTCTAATGCAGCAGCAGCAGCAGCAGCAGCAGCAGCAGGAGCAGCAGCAGCAGCAGCAGGAGCAGCAGCTGTGTCCCGGCAGTACCTGGGTCTCTCCACTGACACCAGCCAGGAGCAGCCACGACGCAGGGGCTGGGAATTCATCAAACCCCACGCTGACCTCCCAAACTGACTTGTCAGGTAGAACAGGCCCTCAAACGCCTTTTTACTCCTTCTCCTTTGCAAAGGGAAGGAAAACTGCTCCAAGACATAGGAGAATTCAGCATCTGAAGAAATATTACTCCATAATGTTATTCCCCTTTTTTAGTATTGGAGGAATTATGACAAAAAGCAAAGCAAACCAGCTCGCCCCCCTGGCCCAAGGTACTCCCAAAGGGTCGGCACCAGGGGAGAGAAAGAGAGGAGCTTGCTGCAGAGAGAAGCTGTGCTGACCAAACTCAACACGGTTTTGAAAACTCTGGGGAATGGGGCTTACTTTTTTCCACCTGTAGATGTCTGGCCTGACAACTGACTTCATTCAGAGTCTGATTTCCCTCTTCATCTCCTGAGCAAGGAATATTGGAAGGGATTACATTTTACTGAGTATATACGGAGGAGCTGAAGGAGGAAGATTGCATATGGATGCGGAAGCAAAATAAACCCAACTACCCTGGGCGAGCAAAGTCACAGCTGTGTGGGGAAATCAGCCTGCTGCAAGCTAAGGTATGGAGTTGGAGTGTTACAGCTCTTCTAGCACAGGCCTTTTTTGCAATTTTTTTTTTTTAACGTTGCTTTGCAAGAGTTTAAACTCCACCGAAAACCCACTTATTCCACAACTGAGGTGTTTAGCTGGTGAGTTAGAGCAAGACACCGGCTGCAGGGTAATTACGCTGGGAGAACTGGAAAGATTGGCAGCAAACAGAACCATGTCCAGGTAACTGTCAGTGGTCTTGAAGCTCCGTAGAGTTCCTATTACTGAAATGACTCCCTACAGGATTTGTTTTGTTGTCTTCCTTTCCCAAATCAGAGAAGGCGGCTCAGTCTTGACATTTTTCAGACTAACCAAAAAAACCCAAGGCCGAATGAGAACCTCTTATCCTGAATGACAAACCCAATGCGCCTGCAATAAAGTTTCATTTTAGCAGCCTCCCAGTGGCATGAAGCGCAGCAGGTTAAAAGGAGCCTCAGAAAGGCTCAGTGCTTTAGCATTTAATACATTTTAAATGTTCTATCATACAACAAGATAATAAAGAGGTCTGAGGTCAAACTTCCAGAGTACCTGGTGAATTTAGAGGTCCATACCCCATTGAAAGCCATTGCAACTTGTTTCTAAAAGCATTAAACTCTGCAAGGAGCTTCTGTAAACATAACCCTGCCATAAGCAGGTTTCTCCAAGTGCTGCAAGACAGCCATGGTGTGTGTGGGCTTTTTTTAAATCAGCAAGCCTGACAGAAGAGACATATTTTACTGCAAAATATGAGACTTAGATTTTGAGTGTACGCTAGTGAAGTCAACCTACAGTTGCAAGTCCTTAAGCAGTCTCCAGAGGAACAACCTCCCTGGAAACTGATTTTTCTGGTGTACAGGTTCAACTGTTTAAAGTCTTCCAAGCAAAACTCCCCTCCCTCCTCCGCTCTCTGCGTGTTCCCCCTCATGCAGGCTGCTTGTCATATGGAGTCTTCCTAGCAAACAGGAGCAGGATTTTGTAATGACCAGCTGGTAGAAAGAAGGAAAGTACATTGTGTTACTGGGCTGTCAGATCTGGAAAGCTCACTGTTTAAATCAGCCTTTAAAGACCACGGTGTTAAACGGTGTACTGAACATCTGCCTGTTGCTAAAATTGGCTTTTTATAAGACAATCTCGGACATTTCTGGATGTACAGTAATTTAGACATTTGTTTCTCATAATGAGAGCAAAGACTGAGCAGCCCCATCTTACTGGGGACAATTATAAACTCTGTGCAAGACAGATGCCAAGACCATCTGCTTCAAGAAAGACAGCCTTCTTACCAGCAAGTTGCATGAGGATATGTGGGATATTTCCCCCTCTCGCATATAAAGAAGTCCAAGAAAAAGATGGCACAAGGCCAAAGGAACTATCAAGTTTCCCAGGCAGAACACCAAGAATGATGGAAATAGTTGACTTATCTGTACAACCCCCACTGCAGAAGTAATTGGTATTAATAAAAGTGGCAACATACTGGCACATCATTTCTGAAAGTTACAGATGCATGATGAAGGGGAACAAAATTATGATGCTGTGACAGCAACCCGGCACTCCAGCTTGCACGTATTCCTTCCCGGCAGCGCGACACGCTTGCCTCCAGCCCTCCCAAGAAGCTCCCTTCGGCTTGAATCACTTTTGTCGCATTCTCTGCCTAATGTTAGAGGAGAATAATGCTCTTCCCTTTTCTCCCAACGCTGCCTTTTCCCCGGCTCCGTCTGCTCACATGCCAAGTTCAGCCTAGGGTTCTCAGTCTAGACTTGTTCTGACTGACATTTGTAACAAGACCAATTTCTGGCGAAACATGAAATTGGGAAGATAAGAGAAGGACATGATTCGAGTTAATTAGCCCAGCAAGAAATCTTTTCCCAGGTGGCTGCTGGAAAGGCAAGTCTTGACTTGCACCACGCAGAGTCTATCCTCGTGCACAGCAAACTAGCTGACAATGTGAGCTTTGGAGTTTGCAACTCTCAAGCTGATGTGAGGGAATCATCCTCATAAAAATTCCCCCTGCAGGCTTCAATACAGATGTGAGAAATTCCACAAAAGATTAACACAGTGACCAACTGCGAGGGACAAAGGATTTTATCTGAAAGTTTCTAGGGGAATTCTGATTCTGGGCTTGTTGCAAACATTTAATCCCAGTTCATTAACTCCAGCAGAATTTATCACGTCAACATTTCTTATTTTGTTCCCCAAATGCAACACTCAGCATATTACTACTAAAGTTTATACACTTATTTTTATATTTAGTATATACAATCCTCTGTGTGTGTGTGTGTGTATATATATATGTGTAAAGTTCTGCCTGGTAGGTGACACATGGAAAAACACAGTACCAACTAGAGCCAAACACTTTGTGTATTGGGATTTAAAGGCTTTTAAGCATTTGGGAAAGATGTTTCCGATATGGAAGCTAATATACATTCCTGTGAAAAGTTTTTGTAACTGTTCTACTCCTCCTCTCCTCCCCAATTCCCCATACTTATCAGCTGTTAACAGTCAGGGCACACTGCCACGTATCCATTTAGGAAATGTATCTGAAGGAAGAAAACTGTTCTGAATTATTTCAGCCCACTTTCTCCTAAAGCGGCACCCGGGGCACAGTGCACACCAGAGCTCAACACCCAGCTCAGGGGTGGAGTCTTCCCTGTGACAAGAACCACGTCGGAAATTCACCCTCTGCGACAGGGCAGCAGCGCGCTCCCACCCACCCCCTGAAGAGCTGAGAAGCAAGACCAGCCCCTTCTCTCCCTGCACAGGGGACGGCCCTCAGGACACACGGCACCGGCTCTACCATTTCCTACCTCAGCACTTGCCCGCGTGCGAGGCTAGGCCATACCCGCTCACCGCCAGTACGTCGCCTGTGAAAACAGCATGTGGGGTTCTGCAGGCACACAAGGCTACCGAGATGGGAAAGTGAAGAGAAACGTGTAAACTTGGTGCAGTTACGCGACGGCGCAAACGGGCAGTGGAAAGACTCTCAAGCTCAGCTTTAGGGAGTTGGTCTAAAACCATGTAAGCTCCACGTTCACTCACAAGGGCCTAACTTTAGCAAGTATTCTTTGAAAGAACAGAATTGTCTTGTTAATCAATCAAAAAAAACCCAAACCCAACAAAAACGCTGCAAAACAACCAGCCCATCTCCTCCTGTCTACACAACTTGAGATTCTTTGCATCTGATCTACAGAAGTGCCTGATCTTCTATCCTGCTGTCAATTAAGGCAATGACTCCTTTGGTATTGTTTATAACTGATGAGCAGCAATCGGATTTATAGTAAACAATATAGTGTAATTCAAGACTGTAATTGAAGACTGATCAATGGGATAAATTCATTACACATTTTTATTTCCAGTATGTGCTCAAAAAGAGAGTAGATAGGGAATTGAAAGGCTTTTTTTTTCTCTTGCTTCCAGCTTGCATTAGTTTTGTATGAACAGTGCAAGAGAATGAGTTTATCTGCTACAACTGCAAATTAAAATACCAAACGGTAAGAAATATTTTATATGGACACTGCTAGACAGAAGAATTGAATGAAGATAAGCAGACCTTTTATAAAAAGATTTATTAAAATAAGTTCTTTAAAGAGAAAAAGTGTGACATGTATATACATTAAATTGTCAAAAACTTTCTGGGACTTAAAATACAGTGCATTCTAAACTGACCAAGAGACACTGACTTTTTTTTTAATGTCATGCTTATAGAACTTAACAGTGTATGGGAAGAGAAAAAATAACACTTAGCACACAACCATTACAAGTAAAATCTTGAAATTGAGGAGTACTTGCAAAGATGAAACTCAGTGATCAGCACAATGCTACGGCTAAAGACAGATAGAAACCAAGAGTTTATGAATACAGTCTTCAGTTGATACAGTTTAGCTGATGACTGCTAGCTTCTGATTAGTTTCTTCATTTCTACTGTGAATTAACAGATCTTAGCAAGTGGCTTTGTGTTCTATAAAGGTAGAAGTATTTTGGGGACAACAAAATACCACCCAAAACCAGGTAAACAAATGCATCTTTTCCAGCTCTATTGCAGTAGATACTAAAGATTTCTTCTTAGGAAGAGAGTTACACAATTGCTGGTTTTCTGCTTTGACTCTCCACATCTCTGACAGCCAGAACCACAAAAATAATTTTTCTTAAAATTATTTTATTTTACAAGAGTGTTTTGCACAAACAGTGACATGACAAACTAACACTTGATTCCGCATGCTTCAGATGACCTCAGCTTCTCATACTCAAGAGGTCGTATTTAAAACTATATCCTTTCAGTTGTGTCTTCTGAAGATTTCCCATTCATTAGTGCATATATACAGCTAGCTGAGAACTGTGGTATTACAAATGTCTACCCATCCTTACAGCAGAATTCACTCTACTCTCAGATGTATGCAGGACTTACATCTTTAGATCTTCATAGCATCCTCTTTAGTCCCATAGTTTAATAAGACCATCCCAGCCGCATGTAATGACTTTAGATGTTTCGTGTGGATGCCACACTGCACCAATACAGACTTTATCATGTGCTTTTAATCTGCTGTAGAGTTTTGTTGTCTTCCAGTCCCAGATGTTAAGTTTTCCATCTGCATCTCCAGATATCACATAGCTATAATAACAGGATTAAAATAAAAGTGGTATCATGTGTGAAGACTGCTTGTATTATAATACTTTTACATTGAGCAATGGAAAAGAGCTTCACCCAAGTGAGCTTCCTGTCTGACAGTCTGCAAACATACCTACCAAAGAATTAGCATTTGTGCTGTGCTCTAAAGCGCACAAGTTCTGCAGAAGGCGATTCATCAACTGCGAGGTAAATGTGCTAAGCAATGCAATTATAACATACACTGTGTTACTGGAACTAAAGAGAATATGTCAGCAAAAGAGAAAGCGCCAGAAGTTTCTCTAAAATTTATAGACGCTTCTCTCCACTTTTTCCTCCAGTTTCACTGAGGTTATTCTCCAGTTTTTATAGTAATGAATATCTTATGTACATACAGTGATAAATGTATGGGCATATTACTAAGCAAACAGGATGAAAAAGATGGTTCTCTGAACAATAAATGAGGATACCCACACCAGACCTGCAAACTGGGAGAACTGGGCAAGTCTGAATCCCAGGTATTCTAGACAAGTGCATATTACGGGAATAGGCCCTGTGCTGCAGACCATGTGCAAAAAGAGCCAGATGCAAGTCAGAAGTGGAAGCCTCCTGTGCTGCTCCAGGGCTAGGGAAAACAAGGGGAGTCTCTGGATAGTTTAACAGCAGTGTAAATCATCTTTGCAGAATGGGGAATCTGAACTACATGGACTGTTTTCCAAATTTTCCTCAGAGAAACTGCCAAGTATAACTTAGTCCTATTGAATGACAAGAGCAAACTTTCCATTCTGCTGCTTGGTTAGAGAACTCTGTCTGATGCCAAGTTGATAGGATGGCTGTGCATCAACGAATATCCCAGAGGATTCAAAAAGAAATTTAGTGTCTGTGCTGGCAAGTTTTAAGATGAAGCTCGTTCCCACAAAAACTTACCTCATGTCAGGTGAAAAATCCACTTGACAAGCGTAGCCAGCTACCATGTGACCTTTGAAAATTTTCTTTTTGTTTAATCTGAATCTGTTCTGAGCTCCAAAAATCAGAATTTGGTTATCCATGGACTGGCAAGCCAACCACTTCCCTATAAATGCAATAAACAAAGGTGGTATCAGAGTGCCGCATCTGAAGAAAAACTTTGCAGTTCAGTCTGTGAGATTTTTATAACTTTTCTTGCACTATCTTAATCTAGATTGTCATTATGTACCAGGGTTCTAGGTAGCAAATGATATTGCTTCTGCCTGGTACAACTGCCAAGAGGCAAAACCTTATGTTTGACAGGATTTGGGATGCCTATTCCTACAAAATGCACTCAGTACTCTAGAAAAGCTCTGGCTGTTACAACAATGTGCTGCATCAACTCCACTGACTTACTGATAACTTCTTAAGCTACTGAGTAAGCTTGCTGGTGTGCGTAATCAAGTAACCCAGATGAGGTGAAAAAACCCCATCTAGCTACAATATATTTGATTACCTGTTCTGTGGGTACTCTAAGATGGTCACCTTTTATTCTCTTTATGGGAAAACCAGGTCTAAGGTAGATTCAGGAGTTTGAAAATCCTTACGAATTTTTGCAAATATTTAGTATTCTCTGCCCCATTAGGGGTTTACAATTTAATAACGGTATTTTAGTGAAAGAAAAAAACCCAGGCTTTTCTAATCTTTATCTCATTTTGCATCTTGGCAGTCCATTAACTCCTGCCTGAGAATCCAGTGAAGATGATGTGCTCTAGAACACCATAGAACAGAGACTTCTGTCCTGAACTCTGCATATCGTCACTGCCTTTACAGTGTTTTACGCAAACAGCGATAACATAAAACGTGCTGACTTCACTGTAAATCTGACCACACTTCCAGCTATTAGCTTGAAATTTCAGGATTTTCTTCAGCTTCCCAAAGAAACAAAGCAAGTGTGTACCCCAAGCATGCTATTCTCCTCTTCGACTTCTTAAAAAGTCTGTTTCCTGCATCACTTGGGAGGAAGATTTTAATTGATGAGATTCATAAATCAGTGCCCCTAAGCAGAAAACTTGCACATCTGTAAAATTTTCAATTTACTTTTCTTTAAAGGACTCATTTAACTCCAAAATGATGCATGATATGTCTGGCACAGTCTGTAGCATAACTACTCCAAAATAATTTGTTTTGTGTGATATTGGACTACTGTAGGTCAAGACAATGTTACTTAATGTGACAGGTGATGTCTTGAGCTGAAAAGCTGACTACTTCATCCCTACTATCATCTACTGTCTCATCTCAGAAATCAAATACCTAAATGCTGGCCAGCCAGAACTGGAAAAAGAATGAGAAATCCAGTATTTCAATGTGGAAGAATGAGCTGAACTGAAAAGCTGCATCAGAATACAGCAAGTTGTGCAATTTCAGAAACGGGGGTTGAAATAGGCCAGCTTGGGAAGCTAACATATTTAAATGCAGCTCTCTCTTTCTCCAGAATCTTCCTTTTTATATTAGAAACTCTCTTCTGTTGTTAAGAGTAAAATATTTACACTGCAAAGCAAATACAATTTGGTGCTAATAGCTGGCTGAAAACGTTAGCTGTGCAACAAGTCGATCAGCCACTACTCAGCATAATGGGACTGTTAACTGTGTATCTGGCAACACTTCAATAATGTTGACACTAAAGCTATTTAATTTTGGCCAAAACAGATAATGGATATTTTGTCCTGTTAGAAGCATTTTCACTGATTACTGAAGGCACTCAACCTTTATCCTCCTTCAGTTTGATTGTAGTTGAAGAACATAAACACCAGTGAAACATTAACATACAGAAACACCGAGATAATTTGGGATTTCTCTTATGCAAGAGTTATTTGGGCTACATTCAGAACAGAAGGGAACAGCATTAACAGGATCATGTACAACATCAGTTTCTGCTTTAACGGTGGCACCAAAAGGACTGCTGAACTTGCTTAGTACTTTGCAGCCATCGTCAGTTCCCACCATTGTTTCTCTTAACATTTTAAATACAGCAAAGAGCACATTGTGGCTCTATGAAAAGAAGTAGTCCTTTTGCCCTGTCTGGATGAAGGTCTAAATTTAAGTTGATACAGTTATCCTGATATAACCCCTCATTTTGATATACTTGTTCTCCTTAAGACTTTTAAATCAAACCCAGATCCAGTCCAATCTTGGAATAAATGCACACACTGATTTGGTGGGGCTAGTGTGGGGTGGCAGGGGGATGCAACACGGCAACATTACAGAGATATAATCAGTATGACATGCCTACATAAATTAGGCCTAAGACGACAGTAAATCGTTAACATACCATTTGGAGACAAAGTCACGGCTGGCATCGAATGCATACTTGGCTCAGCTATGTACTTGAAGTCTACAGGAATGTCCCTGCAAAAGGAAGAAGTATGCGTTTTATGAAGACATGGAGATTTTCCAACGGGCTGCCTCTAGTCAGCCGACTTACTCAGACACTGAACCATGGAGAGCACATGGTGGTGTCCAAAGGAAGAATGTGCAAAAGCTCAAAAATATTATGAATGCCCACCTAGAAAGCTCTGGCTGTGGAGCCATCTACAGGATAACCTCTGGTAGAGTGAATTTACCCCGATCAAACAACCCCGAGTCTAAAGCAGAATCATAATTCTAGTTGTTAAAACTGTAACACAAAGATTCTCTATTGCCTGCAGTTTAACTGCAGCTCTTACAAAATTCTTATATAGATAGAAAAAAATAGACTGATACATGCATGTGTCCTATTGGAATGTCTCACTGACTTAAGTTTTGTTTAACTAGAATATTTCTGCTTTTTTTTTTTTTAAAAAAAAAAAAAAAAAAGGAAAAGATAACAGGAGTCTCTCTTTCTCGTCTCTTTGACAATGCCCTTTTCCTCCTGATCTCCCCAAATGGGATGCCAACCAATTCCAGATGTTCACAGCTGAACTGAACTGTGAACTCCTTGGTCTCAATTCCATACAGGACTGTGCCAGTGTATGTTAAGAACATACGCTGTCCTGTAAAAAGGCATGTGGACCTAGGGAAAAAACAAGCACAGTCCAGTCCTTACTCTGCAGAACTGTCATTTGGTTTTGACTATATAAATTGAATTACTAACGAGTTGTGCATATTCACAGTCTTCCTCATATGCTACATTAGAAGGCTGGTAAAAAAGGGAAGGCATGCATGTGTCTTTCTCATTAAGCAAAAGAAATCTCCAGCAGAAAATAGATTTCATTAATGTATTCAGCAGAAAACACAAGCAAAATGTTCTGTAGCAACATTAATTAATACAAAGCGAATGGTTATGACTTCATTGTCTGATTCACACAGTAGAAGAGCTGCTGGGACACTATGGGAGCAGGGAGCATGGGTGACTGCCTTGTACTTGCTGACCGAGCCTTGCTGGATGACAACATGGTTGACATTAGCAAGGTAATTACAATTCTATTTTATTGTGGAGTAAATTATTTCCCATCATGTTGTGTTTAGTAACATGCACATGGGTAGCAGGGTGAGAAGATGCTCTGTTGTCAGGAAGCAACACAAATGCTCCTGTGAGTTAAATGTTAAAATTACTTTACCCGTGTTTATCCACATAATCTCTGAGGCTGACCAACATGACAGCACGGAATTGCAGCCCCCGTGCCCCATCCTACCCTTTTGCATCAATACCCAAACAGCTCCAAACCCCACCTGCAACAGGACACAATGTCATCGCTGCAGTAAGGCCAGATCCTGATCAACTCCCAACATCCAACATTTCCTCAGCCCACCAGTCATCTGGAGTCCTCAAAGCCAGCTAAAAGCAATCCCACTGGAAGCCCCATTAAAAAAAGTCTCATCACAGAAGACACATCTCCAATGCTGAACTGTACTGCAGTGAGAAATTTAAATGCAGCACAGGTTGTCCTCCCTTCTCTCCTTTTACAAATGAAGGCAGGCTCATCTACTGCAATTTATTCAAGACAGCTCTGCTTTATGTTGAAACCTACCAGACACACTTAGGACAGCTGCAGGGTATGCTGCATTAAACTATTAAGCAGAGTAGAGAGATACATTTATGTTTCACATTTGCTTCCAGTCAAATCGCTAAATAAGTAATATCAGGCTGCTCCCTTAAAAAAAAGAAAATCTTTAAGAAGAATTACCAAGAAAGATGCTGTCATGGTTGTCTGACCTCAAAATTCATGTGATATATTGTTTGTTCAAATTTTTAAATTTAAAGATCTTCAAGTCCTTTCCCCACTGCATAGCATTTCAAAGGCTGAAAAGTTTTAAATATCAATAGTAGTATCTGCTAGCCAAGATTCAGAAACGTGATACCCTGGGGTTCTAGTACAACTCATTCCCCAAGCAGGAGAGAAAAAAGAACCTTTTAAAGAAAAAAGAAAAAAAAACAAACCCCCAACCCAATCCAATTTTGGGATCTGCACATCATGAAAAGCGCTCTCAGGAGACTACTGTATCTCTACCAGGAGCAATGGAGAGAAAAGGCCTGCTGAGGGGTATAGCTTTACAAAGATGACAAGCCTCCTAAGCCTGCCAGGATAATAACTAAGCTACCAATATACAGTCCTTGCTTTGCTAGCTGACTTGAAGGTAAAAGGAAATAAAAACCTCCAAGGTCAATAGCCCAAATCATTTCACTGTTTATCCAAGTAGGATCAGACGCACATGAAGCGGACAAAGACAAAATAACATTTTGCATTTCTGGAAGAAAGAACACAGAATATGACATCCATGTCAACTTAAATATCACTACTGTAATGATAGTGTCACATGAAATGCAAAAGCAGACAAATTTTAAAGTATTCCTGTTAAGACTCCTGAAGAAACCATTACTCTGCAAGAGTCTGTCCTATACTTGCAGTCTGAACTTTCAGCAACCAACCAACTGCGATTCAGTGTACAGCACAGCAAAATCTACGCATGGGATGAACTCCTGGGGAAATGAGATTTCAGTTCTCAGGGAAAAAATTCCTCACTGTGATGAAGTCTGACATGGCATCCCATTACCAGCTCTGGCCAAGTCAAAGTGTTTACAAAACATACGACAAAATTCCTCTGGACAATTGAAACTAAGCAATTGGACCAGCTTTAATTACTGGCTTTTAAGGCCATACTCAGGTCATACTTACTTCTCCTTTGTTTCTGTAGGATACTGAAGAAATATTGTGCTGAAGAACATATAAAGAAACATGCCAAAAGGTGAAGTAACCAAATCACCTTAAGTTGCAAATAATTTTCCTGATGAACTTAGGAAAAAAGGATTTGAGGTGCAGCATGAAATAAACTGCCATGGAAGTTTTCAAGCTCCAAAAGCTTCTGTACTGAATACATTAACTTAGTTTTAATGCATTGTAAAAATCTGGATCTTGAAATTACAGAAATATGCCTACAGACTGATTAACATATATCATGGCAGGTTGTGGAGAAAGGTTTTAAAGTCATGCCTAGGAAGACAGTGTTACATTTGCTTTTTATAAAGGAAAAAAAAAAAAAAAAATCCCCAATGACTGTATTACAGAATATTGCCTACAGTTGAATTCCCTATTATCTGAACAAGGGAGCTCTTTCTTCAGCGTACAGCAAGCTCAGTACATATTTTTTTCTTCAGAAGGAAAAAACTTCTGCTACTGGAACAATCAGGTTGTGATGTTCCCATGCCAGAACCTTTTTGCCTTTCCTGAGTTTCCCCACAGAGAGACTAAATCCACCCACTTCGCTATTTATTTCAGCCATCAACACAAAGCTCACAAAACAAGGGCAATCCAATCTAAAGGAAATAACAGATTTGTACAAGTGAGATCCTCCTCCCACTCACCAGAGAGGAGACGCTCCTTAGCAGATATGATATGGTAAAGATTTTTCTTTAAGGAGCTCAGGAAATACATGGGTCTAATTATGAAATACAGAACAGAGCCTCTCTTGGAGTGACATATGGTGACAGCATTACATGTCTAGCCTAAGCCTGGGTTCCCAGACTTTGGTCATTACCACCGCTGCTACTGGCAATGATAGCAGCCGATCACAGACAGGCTGAGGGTTTTGCTGGCTGCTTGGGTAACATTCAAATACCACAGATTGCAGTCTCTTGTCTAGGTTTAAAGCAAAAAAAAAAAAGCTAGGAAGGAACTGATTAGTCACAGAGCTGTCAAACTAGCATCCATATTGTGCAACAGCTTTGCATGTGTGAACGGCAAAATGAAATGGATACCTAAAGATATGCGAGTGATTATTTCAAAAAGAAATTTGAAATCCTAGAGAATTCTTAAAAGTTCTAAGCTGAAAAGCTTAGTACCTAGAACGTTGTGGAAAACATTTCAGATAGGAGAGATTTGGTTTCTCCCCAGATATGTTAAAAATTGGAAGCCATTTAAAATGATATTTTTGTGAGTTTTTCTTAGATAGACTTCCACTTTTCTATCATCTATTGTATTCAGACTGTGGGTATCAATGATTGCCAAAACCCCCAAACTACCAGAAGAACAGAACTGAAGCTACACTAAACTAGCTATTTCATACATGGGCCAAATATTACATAATACTAGGCACATCCAAGTTCAAAGCTTTCAAAACCAACACACGCTAATGTAACAGAGCAGACATTTCTTTAAAAGGTAAATTTAAGGGCTGATACACACTTGGGGAAAGGAGGGAGAACAGAGATCACTAATAGAGTGCAGTGTGCTTCAGGCTGACAGGGCTGTTTTACGCTTTCTTTGGGGGAGAAGGAAATCTATAAAGTGTCCTGAGCATTAAGCCAGGATGGGTTGGTTAGTATTCAGCAATGTGATAAGAAGCAACTGGTTTGAAAGATTAAAATCTCTAGAGAGATTATTCTAAAAGATAAAATATTAAGATAAGTTATTAATAATTAATGCTAAAAATAAATACAGCCCAATGCCCATATAAAATCTGCACCAATAAAACAGAGGTTATTTAAGACATTTTACTTCACATACAGTGATTTAGGTTTTGTAGGCTTTAAAAACAGTTTTCAAATATTGCAGTACAGTAGGGCAGTAAGCCAGGGGCAGTAATTCACTATTAGACATTAAGAATTATTTCAAAGACACTGAAAGTATTACACTAAGATTTTGGAAGGGATGTTTCCTTTCACTGGACAAAAATGTTTAACAACTACGACCCATACTAGACTGAGTGGCAGTATGTAGGAGTTTGTAGAGTATATGCCCAACTTCAACAGTTATCAGAAATTAATAACAACAATAGCTGAGATTGTTCTGGTTCTACTTTATTGTGAAGCATTTTAGCTACTGTATATAGAATTACATAAAAATTTGTAGAAATTTAAATACAGCTCCTCCTCAGCTAGCTGGAACTCAGTACACTCCAGTGTCCTATGTGCTACATATACTTTTAAAAATAAACTCTTTTTTCCGTGTGCTCATAATATGCTTCAAGTTAAAATTAAAAATTTTAAAACTTACCATTCCCAGACTCTTAAACTCTTGTCATCAGATGTACTCACAAACCTTCTATTTTCATCCACAAACACAATGGTGTTGACAGCTCCCAAATGCCTATCATATTCCTGCACAATCTCACCACTTCGAATATCCCACTACAAATAAAAAAGTCAGAATAAGACCTTGGTTTTTTTACTAAATACCATAATTTTTAAATGAAGAGATATTAAGTAGACATACCTGCACAATTTTCTTATCCGACATTCCTGCAACAAAGAGATTTTGTTTATCTTCGTCAGGATTGAACTTGACACAATAAGGAACCTTCCTGTTTGTGAATCTTGAAATACATTGCCCTGCAACAGACAAGCCATTCGTAGTGCATCAGGTTGGAAGTGCTATGGGCTGATTAGTTCTTTGCAGATATTGATAAAACCTATTCATTTTACTTTTACTTTACTAACAGCAGGAAATACTTCTTCTTTTAAAGCCCTTGAGAGGATTAGAGAATAGAATTTATCCTGCTCTTTGATTATACTTTCTTTCACATGTTTGTATGCACGCAGCTGTATAAACACATACACATACAAACTGTTCTGTACCTTTACTACAGCTTTCCAAACAATATAACTGCTTGGTACCCTGTATGTCATCAGGGCATATCAAGGACACCAGAACTGGTCAGGATCTCACAAGCTGACCACTGTCTTTGCATAGCATCACCTCCTTAGGATCAGAGGTCTTTTTGACAAGAGACTCAAACTCAGGCAAGAATTCCTCAATCCTAAGCCTAGAAAGGGGATAACAGTAATCCAACTGCAAAACAAACCACTGACCTCTTCTCATAGCCTCAGCCATAAATACCCTGAGTACATGTTATCCGTAACTTACAGGAGCTTGTTTTAATCCGAAAGCTCAATAAATTTTTCAGGTGTATAAATAACTGAGTTCAGACTCAAGTCCGAAGAATTTCACTTACACCTTTTTGGCTGTCACCTGTATAAGACTAGTGCCACTGCTAACCAAGAAAACCAATGTCTCTTTCAAACATGGAAATTTCCTGTCTTAGGAACAGACTTGAGTTTAAAAGAATATTGACAAAATCTATCCTGTATCTTTTTAGCTTAAGAAACTATTTGGAGCAGAATGTTACAGAGCATCTCCCAGGAAATTCTGTGAGAGTATCAGACCTACCCTCCACTCCCTATACCAGCAGCTCAATTTCCACCACATTTTCTTATTTGGAGTGCTCTTCAAGTTCAGGTTAACTGAAAGATCAAGTGAAATAATTCTTCTAAATTAAGCATATTTAGGTCTAAAGTGTGATTTCATTACTTAATTTTATGCCTGTAAATGTAAACATGCAATTAACTGATTTGGTAAAATTTTCTCTTTTTGCTGAAAATTGTTCTAGCATTACAAATAATTATCAAACCTCTCAAATAAAAAGGTATATGAAATACAGGTATATAGGTAGTGTCAATTGCACCACTACAGATAACAACAAAACATTTAGGAAAAAAAGACTGTAATGAAAGCCTAAACACTGAACTACAAGATGATATTAAGGATAATTGGAAACAACCTGACTGACGGATAATATATCTTCACATTTACTATTACTTCAGCATAGTGCCAAATAACAGCATCTACAAATACAAGCCTACCTGTTTCAGTATCCCAGAGTTTAAGATAGCGGTCATATGCAGCACTAAGAAACCGAGTGCCAGCATTATTAAAACAGATGTCTCGAACAGCTTTACTATGTCCTACAAGATAGAAAAAATACAATGATAAAATTTTATCCATTCATGCTTAGAATTAATATTTTATTTTAAAACATTATCAAAGTTAAATGCTCCAGTCTTTAACAATGCAAAGAGAACAAGGAAATCGCTTACTGAAGTTCTTCATGAGCACGCTTAAAGAATGATTCGAGTGAGAAAGAAAATGTAACTCCTAAAGACCGATGAGAATAAAACCCCCAAATCCCCACACCTCTAAAGCACTGGAGAGAGAAACAATAGCACTGTACAGAACCAACCACTGTGCATCATTCATAAATTGATATACAAGCAGAGCTTTAAGTACTGTTGGTTTCAAAGATTGCTCTGGCCACAGTTAAGAGCCACAAGAGTTTAAAACACTGTAATAAATGTCAACATCTAATGAAAAAAAAGGAGACACAAACACTACAGGAGAGTCAGTCAAAGGAGAAACATTTAAAATTAGAAAACTGGTACAAAATTTGGGAAATATTAGATCAGAAAATTAATAATGCTTTCATCTGGTGTTAACCTTGCTACCCTTCAACCCCAATACTTCCATCTGACCACTGCATCAGGCTGGTAGGAGACCTCTTTAGTTAAAATATTGGCACAGTAACTTAAATACAGCAAAATAGCAGGTGAATCTGATTGATAATAAGGACCTTTTGAGAAAAACAGTCAAACTGGTTCAGAAAGAGCAGTCTATTGAGAAAGAACCTTTTTTGAGCCATCGTCTTTGCCACACTGCTGTCATCAGAAATATTAGGTGAAAAAAGACTTCTTTGTTGTTACTCAACATATATTCACTCAGTGTTCTAGAAATGTTCCCATTTCAAAAGGAGAATCAGCTGCTTTTGTTCTGCATTCAAGGCTGCTAAGAAGTTTGTATTTCTCTATCTCTCAGCTATCTGCTTTAAAAAGCACCTGTTACGTGAACAAAGACGGCACCTGAAGCGAAAAAAAAAATTCCCATGCTTTTGCACTAGAAACTCAGCACAGAAGAGACCACCTATTTAAGGTGAGATCATCAGACCACAAGATGCCCTCACTGCATAAATACAGAGGGCTGCTGTTCTCAACATGAAGATCTGGTAATTTAATTTCACAATTTTGCCTTGGGAAAGGAGTCTTGCATAAAGTATTGATGACTGCAGTACACTAATGTTTTGTTTTAAAGGTCATAAGGTGTTACATATCAATATTAAATTGCTTGGAATAATGACAAAGGTTCACTAAAAACTTGCACCTTTTTCAAGTCTTACTGTCAACAATACTGAATACCGTTTGCCTTGGACACCTACAAGTCCTCTCTGTGATAAATTACTAAGCTAACCTTCCATGAAGTTGTTTTAAATAGACATCAGTTTAAAAAAAAAAAAAAAAAAAAAGACTATTACCAATAAATGTTCTTAGACATCTTCGATCTCCATATACTTCCCATAGCTTGGAGGAAAAGAAAAAGGGATGGGGAGAAAAAGATGTCAATTGTTAAACAATAATGATGCTGAAATTAAGTGCAAGCATATATGGCAACATCTTTTAAGAAATTAATTTCAAACATACGACGTCTACTGATTAATCACAACTACCTACCCAGAAATTCATAAGAATGCTCTGTAACCTTTTTGTTAGCAAAACCCCCTTAAAATAACTAAAAACCCCATACCCTTTTCCAACATTAAAGCCCTAAGGTTTTGCTAGTTAAAAAAAAAAAATTATCAGCTTTCTAATATGACATATGCTGGACTAAAATGAGATTAGTTCAAGACCACAAATGCTTCAGTAAAACACTTCAGCAGAAACCTATTGCTAGTTATAAAACTAGGCTTCACAGAAAATGAATTATTATAACAACAAAGGCAATAACCTGAGGAACTTGTGACCTTCTAAATACTATTACTACATGATTAACGCTGTTCTAACACCCACAGTCCTGTGTATTATTTCTATCTTTGTTCCAACAAATTTGTAATTTAAAAATCAAGTGAGAAAAATAAAAGTAACACAGACAAAGGTATTTGGTAGAAGTACCAAGCGTTTAAGTATTCTAAAATGCATTGTCTGTATTCAGTGATGATATAAAATACATACATGAAAACAGAAACATGACTCACCTTAATTTTGCAATCCATAGAGCAAGACAACAGTATATGCCCAGAGAGAGGAAACAATCTAACTGCACTGACACCCTGTAAATAAGGACATAATTAAACAGTAAGTGGAGCATCTAGATATTTCCTCAGTTCATTTGCCCTCTTTTCTAAGCGAAAAGCTAAAGCTTAGCTTCATAAAATACACATATACTGTATCTTGAAAAGAAATAATCTACCAACGCTCCATTTTAGAAACAGCAATGCATTTTGAACAATTGTTATTGGCAACAAATTGATTCACTTCAACAGCTGTACACATACCCTCCTTCACTCACACCATTACTGTGGTAAACATAGCAAAACAATACAAATTGTGGGTTTGGGCGACCATTTCTGTGTAACAAGCCTTTTCAGGTGGGGCAGGTGAGGAAGATTTCCACAAAAAAAATTTCTGGCCAGTTCCAGTTCTTACTTATACTACCAGTGGCTTCTACCCACTGATCTCAGATTCCCCGGGCACAGCATCTTCCCATCTATCTGTATTTTGGGCACTCCTTGCAGAACAAGTCCGAAGAACTGCCAAATACTCGTGGCTTGATGTCCCTTCTTTCCACTTCATGTCAATTACTCTATTCATATTTCATCCAGCTCCTCCCACCCCTGGTTGGAGTTGGGTGCTTTATCCTATTACTGTCTACTTATCCCCTAGCTTTTCTAGATCTGTCAGCTCATCTTGCTTTTGCTTCTCTCACCGATATCATTATTCATCTCTTGTTTGAAGGAAAAAGCTATTTTATGCATCAGTCTGTTCTAATAGGATAATAGGCAGAGGAGTGACTAGAGCTTTGGGGAGGAGATGTTGTTCTGGAAAGCATGGAAAGTTGCAGCTACAAGCTCTTTGATGCAGCAATCATTGAAGAAGAGTTCAGAGCTGTGACTAAACTAAAAAAAGGGTAAAAGCTAAAAGTGTTCTCTGTATCTGAAAGATGGAAGAAAGGAGGATATGATTAAGGTGCTGTCCATTGCAGCACAACGTATTCCTTCAAGTGATACTGAAAATTAGAGACAAAAGCAGCAGCAAATTGAGTATAGGCTTTACAAGTCTTATCAGTGAAACACTTTTTTAATACCAAAATTATGTATATAGTTACAGGCTCTGGCACAAGAAGAAACTGTAAATGTCAAGTAGCATCATCAAAGAAAATGCTTAACAAGGCAGACCTCTCAAAGGTAATAGCTGTATTTGGGTATTCTGTAATGCTGATGCATCATAATCACAAAATCTATACAACTTTTCCTAAGTTTGATATGAAATAGCCCTTAAGTATTTTTACTATTAAAAAAAAAATCAGGGATCTCTAGAATTAACCTTACTCTTATTCACGTGGTAGTTTAGGAAATAACTCAAAATCCCACAGAAGTCACTGAAGAATATTTGTCCCTTCAAAGGAGGTCAGGAAGTCACTATGTTCATGAAAAAGTATTTGCAGGTAAACAACTGCATTTGAGCAGGCAAACACCTTGTGTGAGCATGTAATGCAACCAGTTACATGCATAACGTGGTAAACACATAAATATTCCTTCCTTCCACTGATAGTTCAGTTTTATGGAAGTTACTAGCTTCAGACACAAAGTAAAGTGGGTTTTTATGATGCACGCTCACAAACACAACTTCCTACCTTTGTATGTCCAGACCACACATGGATTTGTTTCTTTGGAAGATAGCACTTCTCAGGTGGCACTGTAGAACGGAGATTAACTCCAACATCTTGAGGGACATGAAGATAAGATCTCCCCTGATAGTCGTACATTTCCTTGACTGAAAAGGTAAACACAGAATTTTGAGAATCCAAGAGCCTGTATTTTAATAGGTTATAATCTTTGAAAGGCTCAACAGCCACACAGAATTAAGGTTTTTCTCAACACAACTGCTCTGCTGTGAAGTGTGTGTGGGGGTGCGTGGAAAGAAAACCCCCCTTTGCAGGACACAGATGTGGAATTTTATTTGACATCAGTTGAGCTCAAATCAAGTCATTTCAGCAAAGTCTGCTTGGAATGAGATAATCTGAACATTAAGACAATCTCCACCCTATGTCTTACTCATCTAACAGCAAGAGTTTCTCCAGTCAGGTTTGTTATGCCTGTCACTATTCAATAAATATTGTCATGATCTACTACATATAAACAGAATGAAGTACTAATGTCAGCAATGCATATCTCATAGCCACTTCTTCTTTAATGCATATAAGAAAGGATGCTCCAGCTTGTGCTTGTGAGCCTGGCTGTAGAAAGTGGTAAACAAAGAGAGACTTGGTTTAACTAACTATCTGTGCCAAACAATATAAGGCAGGACTGTTTTGCATGCAGAGTTGAAATAAGTTTCCAAAAATCACTTAGTTTTACTTACTTACCAAACCATTTTCTTTGAAGGTACCACATGCTATAGGCTTCCATAGGGTAATTATTTGATACACAATTATTCATAGTACGACAGCAAGAACATTTACATTAAGAATTTAAGTAGTATAAAGTCCAAGTCATTTTCTAAATTGTACGTAAGCCATAACTCAAAGCACTACCTGCTGATGAAAGTACTGACACATAAAACTGCAGTAATTCTGAAGCTGAAACTGAGCCAAGCTCATAACTTTAAAATGCTTGCTCTGTAAAACAGGAAAGGGATATGTGTGTCTAGTATCATTAAAAATAAATAAATAAAAGCAGTACCCTGAAAGATGACATTTCCGCGCTGCTCTTCACAGTATG